TTGTTGGGCCGCGGACTGCCCTCCAACCTACTATAGCGATGGCCTCCAACCGAATAGCGATGGTTTGTTGTTTGAGATGTGTTTTGTTTTTGGGGGGGGCAAGTCACCAAGTCCAACTCTAAGATCAGCCAGTCCAACCGAGCAGTGTAGTGGGATCAGTCTCCTGGCCTGAGCCCGGGGAGCCGCCCAACATTAAAAATGGTGTTTTGATGTGTTTTGGTTAATGGTAACAATTAATTAAGAAATTGTCCCTTTATGAATCAAGCCCCCTTGAAGGCATGGGTTGATTAGTCCAATTAGTGTCTTGGTTTTAGTGATTTTCAGCTTTTTGGAAGTCTCTCTTTCTTCGAATCTACTCGAGGTGAAGCGCGGCTTCAAGTCCCACCATCTGATGATAGCTGAGGAAAGCGATCGGCGATAAGGTCGGAAGGGGGGTCTTCATATTGATGTCCATGTTGTATTTTCGCTATGACCCTTTCTCAGAGCTAGGAACCACACGGAGCCACCCTGCGACCCGGTTGACCCCTCAAAGACGCGCTTCCTCTCCCTGGCGTCGCCAGGAACCCGTGCTGGCTGACACTTCCGAGGTTGCAAGGTATGGGTGGAAAGGGCGCATGTGGGTGGGGAGCAGTTGGTCACATGTGGCCAGCTACAGGTGTCCGATGTGGTTCCTTTTGGATCTCCAAAAGCAAAGAAGCTCCACAAGTAGCTTTGAAGCAGCGGAACCAGAGACCTCCTGGAGTGAATTCAAAGAAGCGATGGCCTCCAACCTAGTAGCGATGGCCTCCCATATATTATCATCTCCTATTCTTCCCGGTGGTTCCCCATAGTTATCCACAACAAACCCAGTCTTCCTCGTCTGACGGCGAACGACGCTAGGCCCCACGACCTGAACCTTGACCGCTCTCCCGCGCTGAGAGCGCCGGCCGCGGCCAGGTGGACGGAGGGAGCACCCTTTCCAGCCACCTGCCGCCCTTCGGCCCAGCTCCGGTCGACGGTGGGACAGTGGCGGAGATGGCCACGGACTCGTCTGAAGTCCTGGTGGTGTGTTGACATGGACATGGAAAAAGGGAATGATCAGATATACATGTCAGGGAATAATGATCCGATATCAGTATTCATAAGCAAGAAACTCGGCCAAACAAGAGAAGAGATCAACATATATCAACTCTTTTCGCCAAACTAGCTGTCCTTCTTCGCAGCGGTCATTGAGAAACAAAGTAGAGACCATGTTAATCTGTAAAGAAAGACAAAAAGAAAGTGCGAAACAAAGTCGAACATGCACAGTGCAAGGGAAAAGGCAAGGGCAGATTTGACATTGGAGCAACGCAGGAATGACGATAGAATGAAGACATTTACTTCTGCATGGATCGCTGAACAAAATGGTGGGCACACAATCCAGCAAGTTCGAAGCAACCACTTTCCAGTTGACCAGCGGTTCCCTATTTGGGGGCAGTCTCACCCATTTGGTGGATGAAGTGACCAGTGACTAGCGGGTTGGTAGCCAAAATTAAATATAGTCGAAGATTGTGAGTTCATGCCGCCTTCTTACCAAGCCGCAGGTTCATCCTATGAAATTTGAGCAGTGTCCTTACATGGTGGACTCGAGTCTCTCTCTCTCTCTCTAGATACCAATGGTCGTACCAATGGTCAATGGTGTTCGAAATATGGTTCTTGCATGTTCTTGCCATGCCGTTTGCAAGGTTGCTGGAGACGTTGGAGTCACTTCTTGTTGCTGGAAAACTCAAAAGAACATGCCCTTGGTTTTGCCCAGTCGGGGCCACCTGACACGCTTGAGGATGGGGAGCGACTGGCGCAGTGAACCCAGTTCCGGTTGGCGCCAGTGGGAAAGACAGAAGGTCCAGGTGTGAAACACTGGATTTCTTCCGTGAAGACTATTTATGGTTGTTGATGTCACTGTGACTAGTCATTGCTGTCACTACGGTTGCTTTTGTGGGTTGGGAACAAGGTCCCAAGATCCTTTCCCTTTTGCTGAGTCCTATGTCCGGGATCACGATGGAAAGACGCTCGGCAGGGCAGTGGAGTGTTCCAGTGAAGAGTCCAGAGAACGAGAAACGGAGTTAAACTGATCGAAAGAAACGTCCAAAGGTCTAAAAGAAGAAAAGAAAGAGAAAGAACATAGAGAAACACATGAAAGAGATAGAGAAGTCGTTCCAAAGACAGGGAGGAAGTTGGGCCGATCATGCACCCATTGGGATCCGAAGCTAGTCGATCTGCAGGGCTTGCGACAGCATCGCTTTTCGGAGGGTCTCAGCGGCTGGGGACCTGATCAAGAGAAACATTGATTCTTCTTATTGTTACTAGTAAGGCACTTGTTTCTAATAGCTTTTTTGTTACTACTAGTAAGGCACCTGTTACTACTAGCGTGATACTAGTAGCTTCTTGCATAGCTGAAGACGCATGTCATCTTTGGGCGGCTTGAACTCACCATGGTCGATCGGTGAGTTTCACACACGTCGCTGCCGAGCCCAAGACGACGCGACCGCGCGTGAACTCGCCCCGCTGTGCGCCCCCCCAGTTCACGCGCGTGAACTCGCCCCGTTCGTGATTCACTGAGGAAGTATTTGGCCTTCTTTGGAGGACGACACTTGGGCGCCTTTCAGGTGGGACTGAAGTTCACCGACGGGTCCAGAGGCGGCTTGATCTGTTGACCGTCCACGGTTCGGTCCACGGTTCGGCCCCCGGTCGGCTGACGTCCGTCGAAGAAGGTTCCCGTTTCGGTCGGAGCTCCGCAAAGGCGCCTGATTGGATCACCTGTAGAATTCAGAGAAGTCTAGCTTCTTGCTCCTAGTAGTACGGCCAGGAGCCCCGTTCGTACAATGCCCTTTTGGCTTCTGAGCTCCAAGGCTGAGAACGACACGTGTTGCATCAGTTCCAATCGATCGACCCCAGTGGATCCGGGACCTGTCGGCCAAGTGGATCGGGCATTTTTCGGTTGCTGACCATTCAGATCAGATTTGTCAAACCTCAAGACATTCCCCAGAAAATCAGAGACGTCCAGTAAATCACAACCTCTTTGCTGATCCTGATTCTCTCCGAACGAAGTTCTTTTGACCGGGCAGACTCGCTTCAGCTGGCACAGGCGGAGCATACCGACCGTAGTGCCGGCCACCAAGCTTGGACAGAGTCGCCGATGGACGAGTCGCCTTCGGTACTGTCGCCCGAGACCCGGATCCGCACCCGGTCCACAAAACAAAGGTTTGGTGACAAGGGCCCCTGTCACTTCGGGGCCCCGACCGCCACCCTGGTGAACTAGAGGGTTCGACCCCGCCCCGCCATGGAGGGTCCGGACGACCGGATCCGCCATGGGCGGTGTGAAAGCACACGCACTCACCGCGACGGAGCGTTTTTGCGGGAGCTTTCACGACTGCTTGCCTTTCGGGGCCCTTTCCATTTGGTCTCTAGGCTGAGGACGTCGTCGTCGTCGTCGTCGTTGTCAGTGGTCGTCAGCAGTGGCACTAGCAGTAGGAGTATACAGCGGTGTCGTCTTCCAAGGCCTATGTCTACTACAACGATCTTTGGCTCTACGACTTCGTCAAGGCGACCCCTGTCGTTGCATAAAGCGGGGACCAAGAACTGCGCCCCCTCAAAGGCACGCTTGAAATCACGACAGAACTTGCTGTCGCTCCTTTTGGGCCAACATGATATAGCTAGATCTTCCAACATCTTCCAACTTTCAACTGTATACAATAGAAAACGCTTTTTGGCTGGATGAAAAGGCATGACTTTCACGGTTGGAACACCCAGGCGGAATTCCTGCGCCATCCACATCGGAATTCTGCCCATGTCTACCCCTCTACCTCAATCTACAGCAGTCATCGTCGCCGTCGACAGGATCGCTGGGGAGAGGCACCAACCATTGGTCGCAGGCGGGGCTGGCAGATGTGCCGCCTGGGAGCGTGGTCCATGGTGGTCCCCAGTAGTGAACGGAGAGAGGTTTTTCGAACGGGAATACTTTCTTAATTTGGAAGATTTGGGACCTTCAACCTAGAAGCTGATTCATATGTAAGGTCCCTCTGATTCTAAGGGATTTGGTCTGTAGAAATTGTGTCTTAATCGTCTATCTATAAGCTTCTGCTGAACTTCTGCGGGTCCAGCGACATCCAGCGACCAGCTCGACGGTGTGAGTTCGATGCAACCAGCCACAAATCCGATCTCAGATGGTCGATGCCCATAAATACCACGAACCCTTTTGATAAGTGTTCTCATGCATGATCATGCAGGTATACAACAGTCGTTCAATGGATCGCAGAATTGAACCAGAAGAGCTTCAACCGGAGACCTTGCCCATTTTCCTCATGTGGTGGGAGCAGCGCGCAGCGCGCGCGCACACGTCCGTCCCAGGAGTGTTGTATTTCGGTTCCTGTGGCGACCGGAGTTGTACCTGGCGTCTTTGGCTCGAAGTCCGCTTCGTCCGTGGCTCCGTCGTCACAGAGACCGTGCGCGGGAGACGAGACCGGTCGACGAACATCGAGCCGTCTCTCGGCGGAGCAGTTGCCGAACATGTCCGGTCTCGGCGATGCGGTGGCCGAGCAAGCTGAAGGACATGTCTTGTGGCATCAGGATATGGTATACATGATATTGACATAGGGGGGGATGGTAAGGGTTCTACCAATGTGATGGCAGGTTCCATAGTTTAAATGCTTTGTTCCGTTCGTGCATGGATGGTTGGCTGTGTTCGCTCAACGAGAAACGGCGGCTCAACGCTCTGCGTTTCAGGTGCCATCAGCAGGTACGGTCGATTGATGCCATTTTGCACCGATGGCCAGCGGCGAGAAAGCAACGCGGCACAATGAGAAACCAACGCAATGTGCGCATCCGTTTGCATGTATCATGGGTATTTTTGCGTGTGGCTCAAAACACAGGGATCTCAAAAGTGACATCAACTAGATATAGCTTAATAATGTCGCTCAAGCTTTGATGTATAGCACTTGGGGGCCCCTTCAGAGTCTCTTTTTTTGCTTGTAGCGTCCTTGCTAGTAGTACAGTCAGGAGCTACTGGTAGCATCCTTGCTCCTAGTAGCAATGCCCTTTGTTACTAGTAGCGTCTTTGCGACTAGTATACGTAGTGTACTGGGCGGAAAGGTGTTCTCACCTTCTCATGAATTTCCGCGGGAAACTAAACGTCTATTTATCGTTATATACGGTGTATACATGCGGTTACAGGGCCCCATCTCCTAGCCAAGGCTAACTAGTGTAAGTACGGTCATCTACTGTTCCCTTCGCAATAAGCGTCTTCGGTTGGTGCGTTTTCTTTGTTGCGCGGATACTTTGGCTGACTGACTGTGAATGTCATCGTATTTGGGGTGCCTAGTGAGTTGCCAAACCAGCAAAGCTGATGGCGGCTGAGAGAACTGTCAATGGACTATCGCCAAAGGGCGTGATGCGCAAATGGCAACAGTACCAATCTCATGCCCAATATGGGGATTCCGTCAAAACCTGGAGTTCCAACACCATGTACCTTGACCTTCCAGTTAGGTCAACATCCGACATCATCCTGGTATCCGACATCATCCCAGATCCTTTTGTAAATTAGGTGCCTGATATTTTGCCTGGTCCGGTCTTGCCCCACAGAATTCGCCCGCTGGATTGTATAGTACAGACAGATTTACCTAGCAGTCCTGCATAGTCCGTGCACACACCTCGTACCCACAATATGTGTGATCACTACACACCGGCGTACACACTTCTTTACACCTATTTTCACACCCTTCACACCCGGTATCACAGTACACCACTTGGTATGACCGGGTAGCGCGTGAAAAAGCGTCCGCGAGTCGTGTTAGCAAGGTATCCTGGTTTTGAGCCGCCGCCTAGGGTGGGACGTTTGCACCTCATGCATTCTTCCACTAGTGGCGCTGCACTTGCAGAGTGTTTCATGATGTGTCCAATGGAATTGGGCATGGCTGCGGGTGAAAAGGACATCTCAATTTGATGTTCTTGCCCAAGCCGCCGAAGCCAAGGAGGTGCCCAAGGAGAAGTCTAAGGAGGAGGTGAAGAGGGAGTGGATGGCGAAAGTGCAAGAGAAGGGCGACACGCTGCGAAGTGCACCAAAAGAGCTGCAAAATGACAAGGAGGTCCGGGCAACAGAGGGAGCCTTTGGAACAAAAGAACGGGCATTAACTCCCCCACTGCTGGTATATGCACAGGTAGTTGTTGGTGACAAGTAACGCTGTCAATTTGTGTTCTGTCCATTTGGCCGGAAAGGATCATTCTCCTTTGTTGTGTCTTTCACGGGTTTGACCTCATACGTGAAGCAGGCCAATGTTCCTTCTCAGAGCAGCTTCACTAGCCTGATTGCCTCAAGAAGCAATCAATACCCTGAGAGTCAAAGACTTTCGAAAGAATATAATGTGGTCTTTTCAGTACCTGAAGGGAAGTAACTTTACTTCACTGCAGTAAAGTATCGTCTTTCGACTTCTAGGGAATGATCAGGTGCCTCAGGTGCCTCTCACACGACGATTCAAACTGTTGGCTTCATGGATGAATGAGGATCTTCCACTCTAAATATGTTACCTTCTGCCATAATTCACCCAAAACCAGAACCTCACGGCCGTTTTTCGATCTCACTCACCTCCCTAAGTGGGGACCTTTGTCCTATTAGCTCCTATTAGGTGGTCATGGCAGCGATCCTGTCCGATGGCACCGCCTTGGAATTCGCCTCCGAAGCCCTCCGCCACAACAAGAGCTTCCTCCTCGACGCGGCGCCTCGGACGAAGCGGCGAACGGTCGGAGGACGAAGCGGTGGCACCGCGGCCGGGGGCGGTGTGCGTGGCCATGTCCTACTAGAAACAAGTGCATCGCTACTAGTAACAAGTGCCTTACTAGTAGTAGCAAGAAGCTACTATCAAGTGCATCGCTTCTAGTAACAAGTGCCTTACTAGTAGTAACAAGAAGCTACTATCAAGTGCATCGCAACTAATAGCAAGTGCCTTACTAGTAGTAACAAGAAGCTACTATCAAGTCCATCGCAACTAATAGCAAGTGCCTTACTAGTAGTAACAAGAAGCTACTCTAGTAAGTGGCATCCACTCCCTCCCTAGTAAGTTGGACATGCACTTGGCCATGTCCTACCCAGAACCGCACAGTGCATCGCAAATTACGTAAGAACCAAGAGGCCAGTCGTCGTGTGCGCCCTTGCAGGGTCGGAAAGGCGCCAGCACGCCATCTGCGACGACTGCAGGGCACCTGATCCGAAGTAGGAACATCTGCTTCGGATCACCGTTCACGAGACCTTTTTGAAGCATGTTCCACTGGACTCCCATGAGTGTGCATTCGAACCTCTTCGATGCCCACGTGACCGTGTGCACTTCCAAGCGGTGTTCAAACCTTCAAAGCGGTACAGCACTAAGAGTTCGCATCTCGACTTTGATGTCTCAAGGTGAAGGCCACAAAGGCTTCCTGGCTGATCAAGTATTGCCCTGGGCTGGAAACGGATGCTGACTTCGTCAAAGAGCTGGCAGCCGCTGCGGGGACTCTGGGACCCGGTGGAGAACGAAACGAAACCGCCCCAACCGGTTGGTCGGTTTGGTACGCTCGGTTTGGGCAATGAGGTGGAGAAAGAATACCATTTGAATGATTGCGAATGAATCACAACTCCTTTTTGATAACTCTTCAAGCTCAGGTTGGAGGAGTAGGGACATGTAGGGCCTAAGCTATATTTTGATGTTTGGAAGCAAATCCTTGTAGCGTATCAGCCCACAGTGCTTTTGGGATGACTTCCACATCTTACCACGAAACCATACCAAGGCTACCAAGGCCACTTTTTTCCCCCAGCCCCAAGCGACCAAGAGAGGTCCCTTGACAACTGCTGCTTTCGGGCCCTTCTTGTGACTGGCTTCCTGTTACTAGTAGTGATGCCCTTGTTACTAATAGCAATGCACTTGTTACTAGTAGTAACTTCTTGCTACGAGTAGTAATGCACTTGGCTATACTAGTAGCTCCTTGCTACTAGTAGCGATGCCCTAGTTACAGTACTACCCTTATAGGACCGGGTACCTATGGGAGGCGAACTCAAGTTCTTCAGCCTTTGTTGGGATTTTTCTCAGGACTGGCTTGATCTTCAGCTACTACACCAATGCCAGCTGCTTCTACGGCATGCGCGACCGCTTCGAAGCCACTGGCGCTTCTGTGCCGGGTGGTCAAGCCTATGCTCAGGTCATGGAAGAGCTCCGCAAGACCTCCGGAGGCGACGACGGCGTTGGCCTCCAACCTACTAGCAGACTATATTTATCGATGCATATTATTAGACTTTTTTTCCGTTTCTGTTTTCTTTGTTTCTAATAGTCATGGCCTCCAAGGCGACGGCCTCCAACCTCCACCCGCCGCGGATTTTCCAAAGAACCGCTCAACACATCGTCGTTCGTCCGTCGTGCAGGGAGCGCCACGGTGTGGTTCGATGAGCTGCCGGTCTTCGGCTTCTCCGCGGACGAGGGCCGCTGGATCCATCCGAGCGCCGACTGCGGCCGCGACGAGGTGCCGGTGCCGGCGGCGTCATCGGAGCGACATGCCATGTGGAACTGCCTGGTGGAGTCGCGCAGCCAGAGGATGCCACCGGAAGTGGGCTCCAAACATCCCTGTGGCTGGGAAGAACGAAAGAAACGCCATGGAAACCCCAAGCATGAAGAAGAACGACATGTGATGAAATGTGGTTCGGTTTTAAAGGTTCCAAGGTTGCAAAGCACCAGGGGTTCTGACTTATTCCAACGGATTAGATCTTTTTTAGGGATATTTGAAGGTGCCCGATGACTCACTCCAGTCTGCTGTGAGTTGCTGGCTGAGGTTGGTGTTGTCATTGGTTGAGGCAAGTGAGGCGTCGACATCAAGAAGGAGCTGTGATCTGTTGTGCAGTCTCAAATATCTACAATGCTGATGCTCGGACGAGATGGAAGATGTCCCTGGCATTCACTTGTGTGGCCGGAATATCTTTGGGGGGACCGATTTGCTAGTGGGTCAGTGGTCTGGAGCTCTAGACCCTGGTATACCTTCACCTCCAGTGATTCTGAGAACTGTCTTCCCCCCCAAGTCTTCCTTGGACCAGTCGTCCTTATAGGCCTTGGTGTCTTTTTTTTCGGTGTTCTCCACCTGGACTGGGCACCGGGCACCGCACCGGGCACCGCGGCACCCAGGCCTGGGTGGAACGCTACGGCGCCGGCTCCTCCGAGCTCTCCGACGCCCGGGCCCGCGAGTTCGGACTGAAGCGGACGCTCGGTAGAGTGAGGTCGCCGTGGTCGTGGACTGCTGGTTGGACTGCAGGGGGTTGGAAGAGGCCGTAAGGACCAGGTTCGGCGTCGTGGTTGGAGAGGTTTTGAACTGGTGTGTTGTTCATGCGTTGGTTATCTTTTGTTCAATTTGAGATCGTTTGGAATTAGAATATAAAATATATTCAGTGTTCAGTTCAATTCGTGTGGTTTTGTGATCCTGTTCGAGAAAGGCACAGAGAAGTGGGTCGAAGGTCCGGAAGGTCATTCCAGAAAGTGTGAGTTCTTTTGCCCAAAGTCTCAAAGGAGAAGCGATCCTTGTGTGACCAAAAAGACCATATGATCACCTTCCGTATCCGAAAAGAAACACATCATTACGCCCTCGAGCAAGACGCCGTTGGAAATCCAGGATGATCCAGCGGCCCATGTGTGACTACTCACACTGCTGTGTGTATATGTGACCACTGTTAGAGGGTGTGACTACTCAATGCACCCCAGCTCAAGCCCAGCTCTACTTCGAGCTTTTCGCCTCTAAGGGAAATGTTCCACAACGGCCGACCACGTGGCTGGGGTGAGGGTGACATCGAAATCAAAGGTGCTGGAACCTTCTCGCGTGTAGCTCCAGTGCATCCGCATACCCTGAGACCTTTGGGGGAAGGCTGCCGCTGGGAACGGCAAGCACTCGATGGCCTGGACTTCCCGGTCTACGTCTTTTTCATGCCATGACAGAGAGGTCGATACTCTACGCCCCGCGCGCCAGACCGCGAAGACCGTTGAAAACGGATCACATGAAGTCGTGTCACGTGGAGAAGTCCGTCACGCGCGTTGCGCGCGGCGGATGGTCTAAAATCAGCGATGCATCGGATGGCCGATTCGCTTGGCACGCGATGTCGAAAAGGAAGCGCTTCGCTTCACTGCGGCGGGTGGAATGCGTGTTGGTGCGATGCCTTCGCTTGGAGGAAGTGAACGAAGTCGGTTTCGGCACTCAGTACTGGACGAACCAAATCGGACCGTACCTGATCCAAGAACTTGGGTCCACGATTGTCATATCAACAGACCAGGAATGTCCTCCTTTAATGCAGCTGGGTGGCAAGATAACACACAATCTAGAGAAGTATAGATTAGCCATTACAGTTCTTTTGGTGAGCAAGCAGTACAAGCAAAAGAAGATGATAGAAATAATATATGTTATACCCACCAACAGAGGCTGTTCAGAACCCGAGTTCGATTATCCCATATATTACCCTAGAAGTCCAAAGACTATGTTTTGACCGACTGAAGCAAAGGAAATTCCTTTTCGGGTCACCTACAGACCATTCTCTTTATAGCCATGGGATCATCAGGTCCTTTCTCAGATCACAGCCACCTCTCGTCTTCGTAAAGCCATGGCCCACCACATGGCGAGTTCGGTGTCGGTCCTCACCCGCTTCCGCTTCACTTCCACTGCGAAAGAGCGGTGCCAGGCCGCCGGCGCGGGACCACCACGGAGCAGCCACGCTGGAGGATCAAATTTTCGCCCGAACCTTGGTGCGGGCAAAACGAAAGGCGACTGGAAGGGTTGAAAAACGCGTTGGAGAAAACACGAGTTCCATCCAGTTGGTGTGATGAATCGATGCAGCGTGATTCCCTGAGTGCTAGCATAAAACTTGGCATTGCCCTGCTTGGAAAAAGATCAGTTGCACATCAGGTTTCACTTAGTCCGAGACTCTCATCCCGCGGCACATGCCCGACGCAGCCCTTGAATTAGAAAGAATCATCATTCCAGATCCTACCATTACTTAGAGCTTCATGGTCCCAAAAGCGGTGCCCCAAATCTGGCGAGGTAGCATTCAGAAGAAGGGACGGCCCCATTCTACAGGGGACCAGAGTGTTGAGGCCATTTTTGGCGTGGTTTGGTGGCCTCACTCTTGAGTATCACGTACTGTCAGGGGCCACAAGCACAGGCCGGGGAGGGTCCTTTTTTTGCGACGGTAAGCTGTCCACCGGTGTTTTCTGCGTTGGTTTGCCAAGGGTTGTCACGTCAAAGACACCGTAACCAGTGACCGTCGCAAAGAAAGAACGAAGCCCTGAAACTGGCGTGGTCTAGTAATGGCTTGCACTGCGCGCAGAGACGCTTGCGCTCCCCAAGCGATTTGTGTTGATAGTTGCGCACGGCGTCTACGCGCCAGCAGAGCCCCATGAGACAGCGGAGGCTAATGGTTCTGATGCTTCCTCAAGTTCTCCTCCTCCCCCCTTACGGTGGGAGTCTTTGATCTGGATGTGACTGCCTGTTTTTCTCAGCATCCGTGATCGATTTTTCTGCATCCGTCGATATGTTGTTGTGGATTCTTTTGTATTTCATTGCAATTCATTTGTAATTCTGTGTAAGTCTCAATTGACGGAAACCCATCCGCGCTGTTTTTCCCAGGAATACGGCGTCCGTGCTAACACGTTCGTTATCCGTGGACATCTGTGGACATCTGTGCGAAGTAGCTGATAGGTTTGCGCAATGTCCTGCAAATACCACGACTGCCAGGGCCACAGGCAGGGCCACTCCTGAAAATACCATGACCTCTGGGCATGACCAGCGCCTGCCCTGTAAATACCAACGCTATCACGACCACAGGCCGGTCCCCCGCACCATGAGAGGAGCCACTCCTGAATGTTGTCAACGCATGTAAAGGCATGGCAACATGCAACGAGACCCCGCGGACCAGCCATTTCGTCGCGGCGGGCCTCGTTGTATATAGCAAGGTTAATGTATAGCTTAGTTCGCCCAACAACATGGTTCGTTTGTCTCTCTTCCTTCTGGGTAAATAGTGCATGATATAGTGTCATCTCCAATGGTCTCATGGTTTGCCGTCCGGTCTTCGAGAAACGGTTTTTTGTTCCCCCTTGGGCTGAAGTTTGATCCTCAAAAAATTCTAAAGTCTGATCCTCAGCTGCGCCGAGCTTGCTGTCGCTTGCTGTCGCTGGGCTTCCGGTGTCGACCGTGGCCGTTGCTGCGCATGGCGGTCAGATCTATGGTGGCCGTTGCTCCGAGAAGCGCGAGAAGACCTCGGTGCTGGCCGATGTGTGGAGCGCCTTGGTGGCGTTGGCGAGACCGACGGCGGATGTCCGGTGCGGTTGAAGCTTGGGAACGGTTCCTTTGTTCTTCTCGGGGTATGTTTTCAGGACCCAGTTTTCACATCTTTCCACCAGGTTTCCAGCCGTTGGGTTTCCGGTGGTGCTGGGGTGAAGAGCCGAGGTCTTTGGCGGAGAAGGAAAGCTTCACAGAGCCACTAAAAGGTGTTTTTGAAGCTTCCAATGGCACAGAAACTTTCCAGGACTCACATTGTCTAACTGAATAGTTGCATTTTGCTGTAAGTTGTAAGGACTACATAGCACAAAACATGTAAAAACAAAAAGTGTCGAACAGATTTTGAAACTCGTTTAACAAAAAACCATTGTGCCTCCCTAACCCCTTCTGTCAGAAATGGTTCGTAATAGTCCCAAGCGTACGAACAAACGGGCTGGCTGAGGTTACAGTCTCACCACCCTTCGCTGGACCCTGCACGAGCCAGTCGTCCGGTTGCCCAACTAGCACTCAGACACTCCAAGTTCACGTGGATGTGGCTGTGGGTCAAAAAAAGGAGGCCTTGGCTGACCTACCAGGAAGGTCAAGCTATTTGGTGTTGGGGCTTCAGGTTTTGACCCGTCCCTGGATGTTACACTTGGTCTTCCGGAGAATTGACCCGCACCTGCAGATTCAACTGTGAGCCATCCAAAACCCAATTAATTGTGTCCTTACGCACACCTCTTAAAGTAATTGAAACTGAAACTGTTCAATTCCCGATGTGTGGATCATGCTGAGAGCGCCACACGCTTTGGAAAACCGCTAGACAGCAAGCGCTAGTCAACTGACTTGAATGGAGAGGGGAGTTCTTCAGCATACCATTGATGATATCTGATGATGAGTATATTTGGATTATACGAGTAGGTAGGTAGGTAGGTAGGTAAGTAGGTAGGTAGGTGGGTAGGTAGGTGGGTACAAAACTCGTTGCCCTTGCCAAGCCAGCGGAATCTTCTTGCTGGTAGTTTGCTGCAGTCCTAACTCCGCCGCACCCGTGAGTAGGTGGCAAGCCTTGCAAATACATGCCTTGGACAGATGTGGGCATTTGACCACAGCACCCAGTTTTGTATTGGCACATCTCCGGTAGTGAGTTGCAGTAGCCTTTATAGCTCACTCCCTCAAAACCATCAGCCAGGTGGGTGGATGGGGACCGTCTCGCTCGCCCCTCGCCGTCGAGGGGAGCGCCCCGGCGGCACGCTTTATGCCTGGCGTGTCGGACTCGCCCAGAAAGGGGCGAACGGGTAGAGACAAGGACCGGAGCGAAAGGGAGGTGGTGACATCTGTGGGCAGATGACTTCCAAACAGAAGTTGTTACATCATATCATGAACACTAGCCATGTATATACCCTAGAAGTCCAGTTCGACTATATTTTGACCGGCTGAAGTAAAGGAAGTTCCCGAACTCAGGTCCCCTAGTCAGAGCATTCTTTTTGTAGTCTTTGACTCCCAGGGTATAGTCATGCACTCACGTATGATCCTCAACCGGGCGAGGTACGGCACCCAAACGGGTTGTCCGAGGACGAGCAGTCCAGTGTCAGACTGTTCCTCAACGAGTTGATCACCGTTGGTCAGAGCATTCGTAAATCGGTGGACTCCCAGGGTTGATCGAGGAGAAACAAGAAGCTACGAATAGGGGCTCCTGGCATCGCCACTCGAACGGAGCGATCGGATGCGAGAAAAAACGGGGGCAAAACTGGCCGAACAAGGACGCTCTGCAGCGCTGAGGTCAGATGTGATTTACAAAGGTCGGCCACACTTGGCCATCTTCGCAGGCGAACGGGACAACGAGGACGCGGCGTCCGCGGTGTCCGCGGTACCTCGGCGCAGTGGTCGGTTGGTCCGGCCAACGGTTGCGGTCGTTCGGGCCCAGTTTGGGTTGCACCATGGGGTCCGAATGAGATTGAAACATGGAGGGCTTCCACATGTTTCCACAACCTGGTGGAACATCCCAAAACGGGTCGATCCACTTGGAAACTTCACCTGAAAGTAGAACAGGTCGGAGCCATGAATTGAACCCCACAACCCCCCAAAAAACAAAGATCACCGCCTTTTGAACCTCGATCCCTTTTCGTATTTCGTTGGCTCCGCCGGGTCCGCCCGCCCTCCGTCTGTCCGACCAGACGAAACGCACGACGCCAGGTGAGACGTTGCCGGGATCCACGAAGCGCACGACGCTGAACGACGTGTGGGTCTTCGATCCCAAGGAGGCTCCGGTCCGTAGGGGAGCCGCGGTCAGGGCTCCGCGCAGCTCCGGAGCCGCGCGGCTCCGGCGCGCGGCTCGGAGGTTGGGACGGTGTGGACGGTGTGGGTCGGCTGGGGTGTTGCTCTTCGGGGTGGGGGGCTTGGCGCGGTTGGAGTGGGGCGAAGAAGGAGGTTGGGAAAGAAAAGGCCACGAAGCGCGGAGGGTCGAAAAGCCAAGCACAGATGGAAAGAAACCCACCAAGCTTGAGATGTCGATTCTCGGTGAAATGGAGGGATATCTCAGGAGGTATGAAGATGACCACAGCAACCCCGTATGACTTTGGCCACCGGTGGGCCAATCCTCAAAGAAAACATGAGCAGACAACTGTCTAAAAACTGTTTACACTCACTGGAAACAAAATGGAAGTCGAACCTGGCCCCTTGGATGACCATTTTCCTCGACAAATAGTAGCCACTTCCATGTGCAATGCTGTTTTGTCTTGAGAACCTGAACTGATTCCTGTTCATCCAGCGTTCCCGAGGAGAGCTTCAAATGTTGTCGGTGGTTTCGGAAAGTCTCAGATCGTTTGATTCACACCGGTTGCAATCAGTTGGCACCTACC